GGCCGTGAGGGGCCACGGGAATGGGCGCCCTGCCGGCGGGACCCACTCAGGGTCTGCCTGCTGGTCTTGCAGGCCCTTCGCCCTCAACGACCTGGACGACTACGAGAAACATTTCACTGTCATGAACTACGACCCGGAAGTGGTGCTGAAGCAGGTAGGGGCCCGGCGGGCCCGGGGAGCGGGCAGGCTGTGTAGACAGGAGGTGCCTCTGGCCCCGTGTTATCTCAGCAGCACCCCCCTACCCCCCCGCGGCTCTGAGATGATGGGGAGACCGAGGCTGCCCCGGGCCCCCAGAAGCACCACCTGCTTCCATTCAGACCCTCTGAGCACTGAGACGGGTGGGGGAGGGGAGCCGACAGGTGCAGGGCACAGGGTCCCACTCGGATGGGGGGAGGGGGAGGGCGGTGCTGGCCTGTGACTCTGCCTGGTTCCTCTGAATGCCCCGCACTCTCCCGGCCCCTGGAGCAAAGGGGCATCCGGGCAAAGCTCCTTCCACGGTTAGTGCCGCCAGCCCCAGTCGGCCAGCACGCACCTGGGACAGGTAGGCACAGCCTGGCGGGAGCTGGCGGCCCTGGGAAGCAGGGTGGCACCGGGCAGGTAGGCACAGCCTGGCGGGAGCTGGCGGCTCCGGGCGGAGGAAGGAGGAAAGGAGCCGTTAGCCTCGGTGCACTAGCCCGCAAGCCCTCTCGCCTGCGGTGGTTAGTGCTGTTTCGGCAACAGGAGCGCCCACCCCACACAGGCCTGCGGTGGCCTCCTCCCTCCGCCAGGGGGCCCCTCCGAAATGTAGAGGCACATCTTTTTAAAAAACAACAACATATTTTTATTGATTTCAGAGAAGGGAAAGGGAGAGGGAGACAGAAACATCAATGATGAGAGAGAATCATTGCTCGGCTGCCTCCTGCATGGCCCCTACTGGGGATCAAGCCTGCAACACAGGCATGTGCCCTGACCAGGGATCAATCTGTGACCTCCTGGTTCATAGGTCGACGTTCAGCCACTGAGCCTGCTGGTCGGGCTGCAAGGCACATCTCGATTCTGTTCAGCATGAGTTCATCCCTGAACAGGGCACACACCTGTGTTGCACACGTGGGCTTTGTGTAAACAGCACCCCAGTGAGCAAACACCTGCGCTCTGCTCTTGCTGAGCGTGTTTCAGCGGTTCTCAACCTGTGGGTCGCGACCCTCTTGGGGGTCGAATGACCCTTTCACGGGGGTCGCCTAAGACCATCGGAAAACACATAGATAATTACATATTGTTTTTGTGAGTAATCACTATGCTTTAATTATGTTCAATTTGTCACAATGAAATTGGGGGTCACCACAACACGAGGAACTGTATTAAAGGGTCGCGGCATTAGGAAGGTTGAGAACCACTGGTTTAGGGTTTGTTCGTTGTCATTGTCCGTGCGGCTGCGGGGATTCCTGTCTCTCACTGGCCAAACAAACTGGAGCTCATTCCTGGGTTTTCCCTGCTGTGGAGCCTGCTGCCCCAGGCCAGGCCTGAGGTCCCCCGGCAGGTGCCGCGCGCACCCCAGCAGGGCTGTTGCTTCTTGTCCCTCTTCCTGTCCGGCGCTCCGCCCACTGGTCCCTGGGAGCCTGAGCCCTCCCTGAGTCCCAGGACGCTGTTGGACATTGTCGCTGGGGGAACTGTCTTCCCTCTGCATCGAGAACGTGTCATTCTGGGGGCCCGTTTCCTCTGGTGCGCCCGTGGGTGAGGACACGTGTCCAGGAGGGCGTGAGCACCAGGCTCCGTGGGCAGCCCATCGGTCGTTTCTGGGAGAAACCTGAGCTGACTTGCCAGGTGCGTTTGGGGTAAAGTCTCAGCCTGAGAAGCTGCTGCCCCAGGCCCTGCAGACATAGGTTGCAGGCCTGTCCCCAGCGCACGGACACAGGTGTTGGCGCGTCCATCCTGACCTCACAGCCTGCGGAGCCCTCCGCATGCCCTGTCTCCTGTGAGGCCCACAGCAGCCCTGCAGATGCGCTTGCTGGGCAGGGAGCATCGTCCCATTTCACAGATGCAGACACTGAGGCTGCGAGAAGTAAATCTGCGTGTCCAGAGCTCAGACCCCGGCTCCTGCCTCCCCTTTGTGCCCCGAGGGGAGGGGGGTAAGCTGCTGGCACTGACCTGTGACCCCAGCAAGTGTCGGAGGCCCACGTGGAGGCAGGGCAGAGGGTGACGGGCCCTGTGTCCGTCGCAGGTGCACTATGACGAGTTCATCCCTGAGTTTGAGAAGCAGTACCCAGAATTCCCCTGGAGGAGCGTCCAGGTGAGTCCTGAGTGAAGCTGGAGGGGCCAGGGCTCTGTGGTGGGCCACGTGGGGGTCTGCCTCCTCGGATGTCCTGTCCTCCCACCGAGGTCAGGGAAGGGACGGTGAGGTGTGGAGGGCTACCTGGAGGGGCCTCCGGGCACCCTGGGGACAGCCAGGCGGCCACAGCCCTGCCTGTCCCAGGAATCGCAAACCTAAGGGGGCAGCAGGGACTCCGCTGGAGGTGCAGGCTGCCCTCCATGTCCCGGGTGAGTGTGGCAGGTGCCCTGCACCCTGCACACCGTGGTACAGAGGGGAGCCAGGGACTCGAGGCAGGAGACAGGCAGGCGGTGCCAGGACTGAGGGGCAGGTGTGGGCAGAGGCGGCTACGGCCAGGCCTGGAGAAACAGGGTGGAGGAGGAGGTGACTCAGGCCTTTCGGGGGCTGGGGCTTGGGAAGGGGCAGCAAACCCCATGTGGAGGGGCCGCCCCGGGCAGCCCTGACCCAGCCTCCCGGTCCCCAGGCCGAGATCTTCCGGGCCTTCACGGAGCTGTTCCAGGCGGCGTGTGCTAAGCCGCCACCCCAGGGCCTCTGCGACTACCCCTCGTCCCGGGCCGTGTACGCCATCGACCTCATGCTGAAGTGGGACAGCCGTCCGGACGGTGAGGGTCCCCGTCGCCCAATCCCTTATGCACCCCATGCCGATGGTCAGAGGGGGCGTCGCTGGCCAAGCTGCTGGGTGGTCCTTTGCCAGGAGATCTGGGCTCTGGGGAGGCCCATCATTAAGGGGCGATAGCCTGCAGGACGGAGAGCCAACAGGAAGGGCGGGAGGGGCCACCCCACTTCCTGGAGGCGCAGGAGAGTGTGGGCCGGGCCCTCAGGTCCGTCGAGGAGGCCCCGGGCCAGGCCCAGGAGCCGGAGCCCCGTGCGCCTCCCAGGAGTGAGGTGCCTGCGCTTTGTGCCCTCAGGGCAGCGAGTGATGCAGCCCCAGCTCCTGGAGGTGAACTTCAACCCCGACTGTGAGCGCGCCTGCAGG